CTTTTCGGAACAAGATATTAAAAAGTATGAAGTGTGGATTTAATCTTAAAAATGTTGGTAACCTTGCTCCCGACACCCCCCCAAAAAAGTTTGCTAGCGCCGCCCCTGACCAGAGGCACATCAAGGCTACAAGCAATGTATCTCTCTCCTTCTCCCCTCCCCCTCCCCCTCTCCCTCTCTCTCTCCCTCTCTCCTCTCCCTCTCCCTCTCCCTCTCCCACTCCTCTCCTCTCCCTCTCTCCCTCTCTCCCTCTCTCTCCCTCTCTATCTCTATGTATCTTGCACGGCGTGACGGCAGCTCTAACCACCCTCAGAAGTGACGAGGACTTACCTGCACAATCCGTCGAAGTGGAGTCGAGAGGAACGGAGTCTCGGCCAAATATATGGAGCTTCCTCGCCCACCGACGTTGACTCACTCCTCATGACACAGCANAAAGGTATGAGGGATCGCTGCGGTGGCGGTTGGGTGGTTGTGCGTGGGGAGAAGCGCTGGGGGGTGGGGGTGGGGAGGGGCGGAGTGGCGACGCAGGAGTTGCGGGGGGGGCTGGGGGGGGCGCGGGGGGCAAGGGGCCGGTGGGCGGGTGGTAGCGGCTGGACGAGGGGGTTGAGGGACAGCAGGGAGGAGGGAGGGGGGACCGAGGACTTTCAGGTTGGGTAGATGTCTCTTGGGGTTTGAAGGAGGGAGGATAAGGTAAGTTTCGGACGGTTGGGGCATGGGCTCTTCTTCCACAGATATAAATATATAGATCTCCCAGTCTCTGGCGTAAGTCTCGTTTTTGTGGTGCCGCTCTCTCTCTCTCTTCCAACTCTCTCTCTCCTCCTCCGTCCTCATTTTCTCCCGTCTCTCTCACCTCTCGCTCCTCCTCTCCCTTCTCTCTCTCCGTCACTCTCTTCTTCTCTTCTCTACTCTCTCAATCTCTCTCTCTCTTCGTCTCGGTCTCCTCTCTCGATCTTCTCGATCTCTCCTCTCTTTATCTTTGAATTCTTCATTTCTTTTATTATTTTGGTCTCTCTTCTTCTTCCTCTTCCTTTGCTTCCCTATTCCCCCTTTCTTCCTTATTCATTATCCTCTTTTTTCTTGAAACATTGTCCTTCCACTTTTTTTTCTTCTTCCGTTTCTTCCATTTTCTTACTTTCTTTCCTGATTCCTCTTTCCTTTAATTCTTTCTTCCTTACTCTCCTCCTCCGTTCAAGCTTGGTTCTATAATGCTTTCTGTTGTAGCGTTCGCTTGCTTTGTTTGCTGTTTGTCTTTTATCTTTATCTCTTGTGTTTTCAATCTCTCTCCCTCCCTTCTCCTACCACTCCTCCTCCCTACATGTTCCTTCCTTCCTCCTCTCCTCTCCTCTCCTCTCCTCATCCTTCCTTCCTTTCCCTTTCCTTTTTCCTTTCCTTTCCTTTCTTTCCTTTTCCTTTTCCTTTCCTTTCCTTCCCTCCCCTCCTCCTCCTCTCCCTTCCCTTCCCTTCCCTTCCCTTCCCTTCCCTCCCCCTACCCCTCCCCTTCCATATCCCTCCCTCCCCTCCCTTCCTCCCTCCTCCCTTCCCCTCCCTCCCCTCCCCTCCCCTCCCCTCCTCCCGCGACGCCAGCGGCCCGATCTCCGTTTCGGTCGATTTTAGCGAAGTTTGTTCAAGGCTTCGTCTATATTTATGTTCTTGTCTGTCTGTCAGTCGTCAGGCTGTCTACTTGTGGCCTGCATAGAGGTAAAAAAAAAAATCAAAGCGCTCATCTTTTTTCTTCCCTCCTTCCCATTCTATTTTTTCCCTTCCTTCCCTCCCTTTTTTTCTCACCTTCCCTGCGTCCTTCCCTTTCTCTCCTTCCTTCCCTCCCTCCCTTCTTCTTCTTCTTTCCTTCCCTTCTTCCCTCCCTCCCTCCCCCCCTTTCCCTCTCTCTTCCTCCTTCCCTCCTTCTCCTCCCATTTTTCTCTATCTCTGTCTTCCCCATCCCTTCCGTAGATATGTTTTGTCGAGGGGCTATAATTGCGTTGGAAAATTCCATATTGTTATTAACCTATTATGATGTGTTTTCAAGAGCGTGAGGATGGCTTGAGCACGGTTCGAGGAAGACATAGGCAGAGAGATAGACACATTGGAGGGGACATACAGACGGGCAGACAGACAGACAGACAGACGAAAGGAGAAAGGAAGGAAAGATAAGAGAGAAAGGAGGAGGGAGGTAGAGAGAGAGAGAGAGAGAGAGAGAGAGAGAGAGAGAGAGAGAGAGAGAGAGAGAGAGAGAGAGAGAGAGAGAGAGAGGGGGGGGGGGGGGAGATTGTAGGAAGGAAAAGGGAACGAGAGAAAGGAATGGATTAGAGTGAATAGCGCGTGTGGCTCGCCTCTGCCGTGCCCTCCTCGGCCTCGTCTTCCGTTGCCTGGTGGTACGGCAGTCCAAGGTCTATATAAGTACTTATATAGACCTTGCGGCAGTCACCTTGTGGTTCTCGGCTCACACGCACGCACGGCCCCGCTATCAGTACCTGGTCTTATCTGTGCCGCGCGCCCTCGCCACTTCGGGTTTCGGTTGGTCACAAGCTCGCTCTGGGCCACGCCGGGTTTGAGGTGCACCTCGCCTTTCGCTCTGGGGGTAACTTGCTCTTTCTTCTTCTTTTTTTTTCTTGCTCTCTCTCTCTCTCTCTCTCTCTCTCTCTCTCTCTCTCTCTCTCTCTCTCTCTCTCTCTCTCTCTCTCTCTCCTCTCTCTCTCTCTCTCTCTCTCTTCTCCCTCCCCCTCTCTCCTACTCCTCCTCTCCTTCACCTTCTCCTTCTCCTTCTCCCTCCCCCTCCCCCTCCCCCTCTCCCCTCCCACATCAATCCTACAAACGAAAGTGACCCCAAAGGAAAAGCTTCTCGAGAATAAAGCAAAGCCGAAGCCAAGGCCACGCGGACCACGAGCTCCGAAAGAGGACAGGATGAGGCGGGCGATAAGGTAGATGACGTAGACAGCGAGTAGATAAGGAGGGGGGGAGGGAGGGGGAGGGGGATGGGTGGGAGGAAAGCGAATGCGAGACGAGGCGAAGAGAAGGTGATAGCGTTCAGAAGTAGGAGAGGAGAGGAACGTTGTTTTTGTGTAAGGGAGACTGAACGAAGGAGAGGGAGAGGGAATGGTGGAAGGGAGAAAGAAAGAGACAAAGAGGGATAATTGAGAAGGGAAGTGAAGACCGAGTAGAGGGGTGACGGGTAGGTGGACTTAGGTAGATAAAAAACTTTAAAGAAGTGTCGTAGAAGTAAAATACCAAGAAAGAGAAAAAGGAAAAAACGAAACACGAAAAAGTTTTTTTCCCCTTTATTCAGGGCAGTGTAATGTAACACCAAATGGGAAAAATGGGGGATATGATGAGTCACTGCGAGTGAGTGTAACAGTGAGAATACATTGCGGTGAGTAACCTGGAAAGGGAGATGGGGAAGGGGGTGGTGGCGATGGCAAGGGCAAGATGAGTAATATCCGGGCTGACCGACCCCCACCCCTACTCCCCCCGTCTGTCCCATGCCCCCTTTCCTATCCTGCGCTCTCCCTCTCCCCCGCGTAATTCTCTCCCCTCCACTCTCATCTCTCCTGTTTCTTCCCAACCCCCTCTCTTTTTCCTCCTTCCTTTCATCTCCTTTCTCTCCTCTCTCCTCTCTCCTCTCTTCTCTCTCCTCCTCTCTCCTTCTCTCACCTCCCTCTCTCTCTCTCCTCCCCCTCTCTTCTCTCTCCTCCCCCTCTCTTCTCACTCCTCCCCCTCTCTTCTCCTCTCTCATCCCCCTCTCGTCTCTCCTCTCTCCTCCTCTCTCCTCTCTCCTCGCCTCCTCTCCCCTCTCCCCTCTTCAGGTGGATTGGATTAAAACTCTCTTGCAGTCTTGTCTTGTCAAGTGTTTTATTAAATAATTCATTACGAGGGAAATCCTGGCGGGGCATTAATAGAAAGTGAAAGGGAGGGGAGGGAGGGAGGGGGGGAAGAGAGAGAGAGAGAGTGAGTGTGTGTGAGTGTGAGTGTGTGTGTGTGAGTGTGAGTGTGAGTGTGTGTTTGTGTTTGTGTTTGTTTGTTCTTTGAGGTAATGGTTTGGAGGAAAAGTTGAATAATAAAAAAAAAAGTTTTGTCAGCATAAGTTATCTTTGCGCTCGTGTCTCCTTACCATATAGGGACACGAAACACACACACACGCGCGCGCGCGCAGCCCTTTTCATAACAAACAAACAAACAAGCAAACACAAAAGGGCGTTCGTGGCTGACTTGATCGTGATGAGGTTAAGAAAAATAGAAAAAGCGGAGATTCAGGGGTGAGAGGATCTAGGGGGAGAGGGGGAGGAGCGGCAGGGGCTCAGTCCCTAGAGAACGCGCAGTGAATATGTTATTTAGAGGGCGCCGAGAGGGGGCGGGGGGCGAGGGCGCGAAAAAAGTAAGAAAAAAAAATATAAAAAAATCTTGCGTAATGTTAATTAATTCTCTTTCTCTCTCACACAGCTGTGGGTGACGTCATTGTGAGGGTTGTTCTTTGGGCCTTCTGTGTGTGTGTGTGTGTGTTTTAATTTTTTAATTTGTTTGTTTTTTATTATCATTTTATCATATTGTCGTTTCGTCTGTTGTGTGTTTACGTTGGAATAAAATGACTTATTTTTCTTTTTTTTTATTGTTTGATGCGATCAGATTTGTAGAATATATATTCCATTATAATTCACGGAGTTATGTTGTATCAATCTTTTCATTGTTCGGTGAGTGTTATATCGTTTTGACATATGCGTTTTGGCGTTTTGATTGTTCTATATATTTGTTTTTTTTTTATCAGTCGGTCCTTCATTTCACTTTCTCGTGTGGCTTTCTGCTTTCTCGTTCTCCTTCGTTTTATCTCTTTCTCTGTTTCTTTTTCTGTCTATTTCCTTCTATTTCTACGTTTGCCGTGTTTTGTTTTCATATTTTTATTATTCGCTTAATTTCCTAATGTTTCATACTTAGTGATCTACTTATTTTCACGTTTCTGTCGCACTTGTATTAGTGTTTTTATTTTCATTATTGGGGTTCGCATCATCGTC